TCCTCATCATTTTATTTCTATGATCAAAACTCATAAGATCTGAAATTTTTCAAAAAAATTATTTTGCAATTATTCTCTCTCCGAATTTAACATAATCCAAATTTGAATTTTTTCACAAATGTGTTAGCTTTATTAAATTTTTTTTCATGTATTTTTAAAAAAATAATTAAAAGCAAAAGTCTTTTTGTAAACATTGCTCATACCTCGCTGCCTTTCTTGTCAGTAAAAATAAACAGATGCCCTAATTTGCTTACGTAGGATTTCAGAGGTCAATATTATTTTCAATATTTGTCTGATTTGGAAGGAAAAAAAATCATAGTTCTGTTTAAAAAGCTTTATTTAAATTATCTCAAACCACAGAAGACGTGATACAAATCAATTCCAAAAGAAGAAAAAAATTAATAACAAACTTGTTTACTTTATTATCCAGCACATCCAAGGAGAAAAAAATAGCAAACATTGCTAGTGGTTTGTGAATCTATTTAATTAGCAAAAGGTTTTCAACTTGTGATTCTTAAAGGAATTATGTGACAGTAGATTTGTTCATTCATAATTGCTGGAAAAAAAAATTCAGTGTGTGCTCAATTTATAGATTTATAACAGCCTGTTATAATCCATCCTAACTATGTAAAAATATATATAGTTTATTGGTGTGAAATTTTACCTTTGATCAAATCAAAAGTGTTATTTTTCTGTAGCGTTTTTTTGTTAACTGAAATAAAACACAATTTTGAAAAAAGCACATGAAATAGTATGTTATATGTATTGATATAATGCTGTGTATATACATAAATATATTGACTCTGTTATAAAAGTTTTAATGCTTATGTTTTTACCCTTAAAGTCTACGACATTGGCATATGTGAATTTTCAAACGAATGTTGCAAATAAAGTTTCATTTTGAAATAATGAGTAATTACTTTGTGTATTTCACTCCATGTTACATAAAATGTCCTTGATAATTAATTTGCTTGAAACATTACATAACATTTCCTAAATAATGGGATTTACCTAAAAAAAAACATTCCATGCTATTTCCTTGATAATAAGTGTAGGTTAACAATTTAATAACTTTTTTTCTTCAAAGTCGAGCGACGGGAAGGTTTCCGTGCCGTGCGTTTTCAGCGGCAGAATAATTGCAACTTCCCCGCAGTAGCCCGCAAAAAAAAACACAACTTGAAGGACTTAACTCCTTATTACCAGGCAAATTTCTACTCGTTTTTTTTTTTTTTTTTTAAATTTGCCAATCAAAAATTCATTTTCACCTTGGTGGTTGGAGTTGGAATGAAAGATACGGAAATATACCCGTATGCGAAGATAAATGGGTTAAGGATAAATTTTAAAAGTTTTATTTTAGTCAAAACACGCTTTGATCAGAGCATGAACATTTGGCAAAATTTTTGCAACACAGGACTTATTCAAAACAGGTTTTTTTTTTAAAGATTCTTAATTAGTCTATAACACGCTAAGTTCAAACAATATATAGTTCTAACGTAAGGAAGGACATTTTACGAAAATCTAATAATTTAAACATTTTTTTGAAACTGGTATATTAAAATATCAAACTAGTTTTTAATATTTTTATATTAATTAATAATTTGTAAAATATGCTGTTAGTGTTAGAATCAGCTAAAAAAAGGCCAGTAATTTAGGCTGACATATGTGAAAAAATTTTTGAATTTATTTCATCCAAAACAATCTCAATAATTTGGGTTACGACTTATGAATTCATGAGAAAAAATTTTCGTATTTATTTCAACCAAATTTACAAGGTTCCGCAACTAACATGTTCAAGGTATGTAAATCGCACTTCAATGGGCAATCTGGTCATTTTTTTTTTTTTTTTTTTTTAACTTCCGAAACGTATAATTTTATGTCTAAGTTCAAATTCAAACATTCGCAGCAACAAAAAATAATTAATAATTTTTCATAACAATTACGTTACATTAATTTCATAACATTATTTTGTGATCTATTTTATTTTATTTTATAACCGTCGTTGAACAGTCGACCCCTTTTTACGGGTTTACGACTACTAATGTTCAACTCCGTCGCCTCATAATTTTGAACCCTATACAGCAGACAAAGGACGTCCTGGATCAAGTGTTGGGAGAAATTACTCACATGTGAGTGAGAGGAAAATCACGGAAATTTCCCACGATTAGCCTGACGACAGGGGACTCTAACCCATGATTCGTCTACCAATGATGATATTTTCCGTCAAATTTTCGGAATGTCTGTTATAAGCTGCAAGTAAACAGAACTCATTAGATAAGTTCAAAATGAAGATAAAACAAAGGAAAATTATAGACATATGCAAAAGGGGGGGGGGAATAATAATGAAAAAAATAACGAACAACAGAATTAAAAATAAAAAAAAAGGATTAAATTTTTTAAAAAAAACCGGAAAATAAAAGCTATAATCTTTTTGTCAGCTCACACGATTATATCCACAAAAAAAGAGTACTTTCTGATATTGTATCAATATAGCCAAAGCAAAATATATTAATACAATAGTGTGAGGAGCACTCAAAAAAATTTTTTTACAAAAATTACAACAAATAAAATAGAACACAAGTAAAAATAACACGTAAAAACAGAAAATAAAATAAGAAGAAAAAACAGTATAAAACAAAAACTATAAAGCGAGTAGCGAAATCAGATGTACTTACATGAACGGGAAATTTTTCAAAAATGATTTAAAAATATTTTCGCAAAAAGATTGCCAGATTACAAAATATGAAAGCAAAAGCGCAAATTGAGTGTAACTAGAGGAATTTAAAGTGCCGTTCTTACTGCATTGCTGAAGTGATTTGTTATGCTGTGCATTGATTTGTTAGTTACCAAGGATGGGCCCGAAATGGATGTGCGCAAGGTAATATTATACTGGATAATTTAAAAAGTTGACC